GAAACAGTGCACAATGACAATGGTTACCCTTTATACAGATGCAGAGATCCCGAAGATGGTGGCAGGAAAGTTACAATCAAATTCTCGCTCTGGAGCGTTCGAAACCTTAGATAACAGCTGGATTATCCCGTATTCGCCAATTGTAGTATACCCACATTAATGTAGAAGCATGTAGCTCTGTTTGCTCAATTAATTATATGCGTAAGTACATAAATAAAGGAAGTGACCAAGCAATATTTAATCTCAGGAGTGAAGGTGAGGAAAATCCCGTTATTGAAGTACAGAACTTTCAAGCAGGGCGTTATGTCAGCAGTAACGAGGCAGCGTGGCGTCTCCTTGGCTTCCCTTTACACGAAAGGCACTCAACAGTTACTCACCTTGCTGTGCACTTAGAAAATGGAGAGCGTGTATATTTCACCAAAAGAAATTTTCAAGAAAGAATTGCATCACCGCCAAAAACTACACTAACAGCCTTCTTTCAACTTTGTCAACCCGACTGCAAAACCGTTGTTATATTCTGAAGTCCCCCGCTATTATACTTGGAACACATCTAGGAAGGAGTGGAAACACCGTATTCAAGGCGCGCCTGTTGCAAATTGGCCCGGTATAAAGTCATCAGAAGCCCTTGGTCGTGTGTATACCGTCCATGTAACTAATTTTGAATGTTTCTGTTTAAGATTGCTGCTGCACCATGTTCGGGTTCCTACAAGATATAAAGACCTTAAAACTGTCAACGGTCAGGAATGCGCAACTTATGGAGAAGCATGTGAAGCTCTGCTTCTTTTAGAAAACGATAATCACTGGGATGAAACCATGGAGGAAGCTGTGCAGTGCCAGTCACCAGCCAAAATTAGGAATCTTTATGCAACTCTCATATCATCTTGCGGGCTATCTAATGCACATGAGTTGTGGGACAAATATAAAGAGTACATGGCGGAAGATATTTTGCGAAGGTTACAAAAGACACACGCGAACATGACATACAATGAACACATTTATAATGAAGCACTTGGAAAAATTGAAGATAAAGTAATGGCAATGGTAGGCAAAAAATTAAGCGACTTTGGAATGATAAGCCCTCAGCGAACAACCGAAAATGAACTTAGTGATGAAATTATTCGTGAAACAAACTAGGATATACCAGCTTTGCAGCAGCATGTAGCTGAATTTGTACCCCACTTGTTTCCCGAACAAAAACGAGTTTTTGACAAAGTATTAGGACAAATTGAATCTGGAAATGGTACACTTTTTTTTTAGATGCCCCTGGAGGAACTGGGAAGACATTTTTGTTAAATTTATTATTAGCGCAAGTACGGAAAGATAAAAACATTGCTGTGGCTGTATCTTCCTCCGGTACAGCCACTACGCTGCTAAGCGGGGGCCGCACTGCACATTCTGTTTTAAAACCCCCTTTAAATCTAGCCCAGGAAGAATCGCCGACTTGCAACTTTAGCAAAAATAGTGCACGAGGTATAATGCTACGACAATCCAAACTTTTAGTGTGGGAAGAAAGTACAATGTCGCATAAAAAGCTGTAGAAGCACTAAATCGAACGCTCCAGGATTTGCGCAGAAATACTGATGTAATGGGAGGAATTGTGGTTTTACTGGCTGGTGACTTTCGACAAACTTTACCTGTCATTCAAAAGGGCATACCTGCAGATGAAATTAAAGCATGCCTCAAGTCGTCTATTTTATGGCAAAAGGTGACAAAATTCGGTTTAACTTCCAATATGAGAGTGCATTTGTATAATGATATCAATGCTGGAAACTATACTGACACACTATTAAAAATTGGCGATGGGCGGTTGGAAACGGATGCTGAGGGCTGCGTTAAATTAACGAGAGATTTATGTAATTTAGTACAGAGTCATTCCAAATTAATTGCGAGCGTTTATTCAGATTTAACGAACAACATGCATGAATGGTTATGTAAAAGGGCGATTCTTGCACCAAAAATGAGAGCGTTAACAAAATAAATTCAGATATATTAAGCAAAGTAGCAGGAGAAATAACAGAGTATTTGTCAGTAGACACAGTTATGGACACAGAACAGAGCACTTCATATCCCGCAGAGTTTCTAAATTCTCTAGAGTTGTCAGGTGTGCCTTCACATAAGCTTCAATTAAAATTAGGCGTCCCAGTCATGCTAATGCGAAATTTAGATGCTCCTCGGTTATGTAATGGGACAAGGCTGCGTGTGACACATCTTGGACGGAACATAAGCGGTGCTACAATTTTGACAGGCGTAGGAAAAGGTGAAAATGTTATTATACCACGGATCCCTATAATTCCCACAGATCTTCCTTTTCAATTCTAATTGCAGTTCCCTGTTAAGCTCAGTTTTGCAATGACAATTAATAAAGTGCAAGGGCAAACGTTACAGGTAGCGGGGGTCAACTAAGAAAAACCGTGCTTCTCTCATGGTCAGCTGTACGTAGCATGATGATGAATGGAATGAATGGAAAAACATATAACATTGGAACAGTAGCGTCTTAAAATAGTGTTCAGTTAGTATTTTTCCAAAATTCCCACAATCAATTAATCAGAATTCCCACAGATCTTCCCTTTCAATTCAAAATTTCCTATTTAGCTCAGTTTCTTTTCAATTCCAAATGCTGCACCTCTGACGGACCTATTAAGCTCAGTTTCCTTTCAACTCAAAAGCCTGCATCTCTGACGGATTTTTATTTGGCTCAGTTTCCTTTCAATTCAGAAAACTGCATTTCCGAAGAATCAATTTAGCTCAGTTTCTTTTCAAAAGTCTGCATCTCTGACGGATAATTATGCTCAGTTTCCTTTAATTAAAAAAATATCCCATTTCCATTTGGAATAAACAGGCTATTTTTATGCTTTCCTATACGATGCGTTTTAAAACATTTAAATAGGCTGACGAATCAGTTTTGCTCAATTTCCTTTTAATAGCTGCATATCTGACAAATCTATAAAACTCAGTTTTCTTTCAATTCAAAAAGCAATGGATAGTTCATTTCCCAGTGACCATGCGGGCGAAGCCGCGTATAACAGCTAGTATTCAGTTCTATTATGAAAACCCTTTTTATATATTTTTTTTATTAAAATATTTAAACTCGACTATCAAGAGAGATGTATATTTGTATATTTGTTTATGCAGGCGAAGCCGCGGGTAACTGCTAGTAAAAAATAAAAGGCAAGTATTTTTCAAGCGCCGAATAAGCCGTGCCTGCCTACGAAGAAGCGATTTCCGACCTGTCAGATCAAGACTGGCAAAAGTGTTTTCCCAGTTGGTTTAGGCGAATGGAACTTTGTATAGAGCATGATGTAGAATATTTTGAAAAGATGTAAAATAGATATTAATAGTACCAATAATACTTTTTGTTTATCTCAAAACTTATTGATTGTCCTACGTAATATATCGCTTTTTACAGGTTGTTCATATTTATCTATAAAACTAACTTGGAAAAGTTACCATACTAGTGATGCCATTATGTGACGATTACTTTGTCATGTTTTTCTATAACCATATCATATAATTCATTGCGATCGAGCGGATTGACGAAAGCTGGGTGGCGCATATTTAGTGGCCACATCGCGGTTCGGACTGCGACGAGTGGCGATCCCAGGTGACTTTATAATAGACAATCAGGTTATTGAATTAGTAAGTGCAACTGTTTACTTACATAACAGAGTTTTGTTTCTGTGTTGTGTTATTTACATCCCGTCTAACAGCAATGAAAGTGAATATATGATAATGTTTAAAATAATAAAAGTGTATGCCATGAGTGCTGTAAAGTGTTCGAAACGTCGGGTATTTAAAAAGTTAAATATACGCGATAAATTCCGTAAAAACTAGTATGATTTTAATGGACTGTTTGCATTTAGATGACGTGAAGGGAGCGCTATAACGACTCAAACCTAAGACTTCCGTGGGACCGAATGGCATCCCGCCTTTTCTGTTTCATGACTGTCGTTGGGTATTAGCTGATCCGTATCTTCACATATACAATCTATGCTTACAGTCCGCAGTGTTTCCAGAGATGTGGAAAATTACGAGGGTCATACCGGTACCGAATCGAAAGATGTCTTCCAGTGTTGAAGGCTATAGATCCGTAGCAGTGCTTTCAACACCGGCAAAAGTTTTGGAATCAGCAGTTCACAGTAGATTGTACTCAGAATTTAGCGCTCAGTTAAAAGAAGCGCAGTTAGAAGCACGACCAGCAACTGCTCAACTATATGTAAGACGTTGTGACGGCTGTGGATTCTAGGGACCAAATTAGCGAGTTGCGGCTTTACTCCAAAACTTTTACAAAGAGACAGGCAGCAGTTTTTTGAGTATGCTGGTTACGTATCGCAGCCATATTATACAAGGTTGTGCATAAGTTGGGCAGTAATCTAGGACCTTTTGAATTCATTTTGATGGTAAATGATCTACTAGGGGTGGTGAAAGAAGCGAAATGTCTGCTGTTCGCAGACGACCTTAAACTATATTTGGAAATCGGAAATCGAGATGACTGCGAAGGATTGCAGAGTGATATTGATAGAGTGGTGGCTTGGGGTGTGAGAAACTGTTTACAGTTTTATAATTCTAAATGCGTAACAATAACATTCTCACGAGCGTACCATCCTATCCTAAACAATTACAAGGTTGCAGGAATCCCAATGACCACCAACCAACTACCAACGACCAGGAGACCCATCATCCTCACCAGCTTGCTTAGTGTCGGCAGGGTTTTCGCAGGCCCAGATTGCTGGGTGCCACTGGTGGAGTACACCGCATGCGACGAACAATCAAAATGAATATCAACGCAATACGGGCGTATTTTAGGGTGAAAGGGGGAGAAGTTGACGGTTTTGCGTATCTGGCTGGGATACATCGTCTTTTTGCTGAGTTATCATCGTCATCTATAACTGTCACAGAACAAAACCTGGTAGACCGAGTTCGGTATATCTTGCGCTCAAATACATTTGGTGGCGCCAAACTTGAACGCCTATGACGTGAGGCTATTCCCTCATCAAATGAAAATGCTACGGCTGAGAATGCGGTGCCACAAGTTGCAGAGCAATACCCCAGTTGCGGTTGATTCAAATGATGATGGAACAGTCATCCAGAAGCTAAAACTAGAGCAAATTAGGAATATATTGGAAGAGGTGATTGTGGAAACGCGCAGTACACCTCTCGAAAATCGACCACGAGTTCCCCCCATAACCCTAAGCAAGCGGAATCGTACTGTCGTGAGGGCTCTGAACCCAATGCTGGTGACCTATTTGGAAGCCAGTCGGAACTTTTGCGAGACGGACTCAATTATTTTTGGTGCCGGACTGACAGTCAGCCGTATCATAGCCGCCAAGCTTTCCACGGCTGGACGCGCTACTGGACAAAGAAGTGCTATCCCAGCCTGGATAATAAGAATTGAGGAACGTATCACAAAGGCTAGAGTTCTCATTGGCAGACTGATATGCTTCAGATCAGGCAATAACTGGCCAAGGATTGTGCACACTGTCAGTGTGGCGTTTGCTGGGACTAATGTCAGTTTGTCCCAGCCGGATATAACGCAAAAACTGACTAAAAGTGGCGTGCATGGACCCCTTCATCATAACGCCGGATTACGTAGCGGAGGCGATCCGTAGGGTCCCGAACTGGAAAAGTCCTTGACTCGATGGGCTGCATCACTATTGTCTGAAGGGGTTCGTGGTGTGTCACGCTGTGCTCGCCCTACAGTTTCAAGAGGCTCTCAACCAGAAGTAACTCCCGGGCCTCTTCACTACTGGAATCACTCATTTGATTCTAAGAACCAAGGTACCACAGACCCAAGCAAATACCGCCCCATCACGTGTCTACCGACTATATACAAGACACTAACATCCATTTGGAGCGCGAGAATCACTCGTCACCTGGACTCAAATAAGGTGATGTCACGCGCTTAAAATGGATGTCGAAGCGGTGGTCGTGGAATCAAGGAAGCACTCTTTATTGGCACGGCTATTGGCAAAATGGATAAATAAAGATATTAACTAATTTGCAACCTTCCGCGAATTACTTCCGATAAATTAGCCGCCGTAGAGTCTACATCACCTGAGGATGCCTCGTGTAGAGGCGAAACACGTGTCGTATTGTCGTCGATGGTGTGTCTTTCCTGGAATATTGGTGTTGGGAGTAGTGGTGCCGGGAGTAGTGGTGTTGGGAGTAGTAGAGCTGGGATTAGTGGTGACGGGATTGGTACACGCAATTGAGGGAGGGCGGGAGTTGCTTCAATCCAGGTAAGACACATCATTCACAAGTGGCAATGGGCCGGCCATATAGCTCGAAGAACCGTTAACCGATGGGGAAGAAAGGGTCTTGAGTGGCAGCCTCGTACCGGTAGGCGTAGTGTAGGGTGACCACCCACTAGATGGAGTGACGACCTGGTGAGACATGCAGGAAGTTGATGGATGCAGGTGGCTCAGGACCGTGCTTTGTGGCGTTACTTGGGGGAGGTCTATGTTCAGCAGTGGACTTGTGAAGGGCTGTAATGATGATCATGATGATGATGATATCATTAAAATAAAAAAAATTACATACCGACACATGTAGACGCTGTTGTAATGCTTCAGAAACAATTCAACACATCTAAGGTGCCTGTAAAGCGATTTTTCAGACGGACTATAAGTATCGGCATGATCAAGTAGCCAATATCATTTACCAAAAACTTGCCTTTAAGTATAAATTAACTGACCAGCCAACTCAAGTATACTATAAATATAAACCAGAAATAGTCCTTGAAAATACCACTCACAAAATGTATTTTGACAGAGCTATACTTACTGACAAAACGATACACTTTAATAGACCGGATATAACTTTAATAGATAAAGCGAATAAATGTGCTCTTATTATTGACATTGCTATATAATGATTTCTTATATTTACGCGAACATTGCACATGATTAAAACTACTTTTACGGATTTTATCGCGTTTATTTTTTACTTTTTATTTTTAATTCCCGACGTTTCGGGCGCTTTCCAGCACCCATGGTCACGGGGGACTGAGATGACTGACGTCCCGATGTCATTGTTAAACCCGGAGTACCTTCAGCTTTTTTAATTATCGTTTATGGTCCGATCTATGCAAAATGAACTGACTATGTCCTGAGGTCTTGCAGTGGTATGCTTGGGTTTAGTTTTAATTTTATTGATTATAGGATCCCAAGCAGGTGGTAGTACCCAGCCTCCTTCTCTATTGAAATTAGGATGTTTTTTAATTTCAATAGCCTCACGTATCATCCTTGGTAGGAATCGGTGTTCTTTCGCGAGGATTTGTGGTCTATCAAATCTGATGTAATGGTTGGGGCCGTCTAGGATATGATCACAAACTGCAGACTTCCCTAAAATAAAAAGTAAAAAATAAACGCGATAAAATCCGTAAAAGTAGTTTTAGACATTGCTATACCTAACTCACATAACTTAGAGACAACAATTAATGAAAAAATTTCCAAGTACACCGAATTAAAACATGAAATTATTAGAATGTGGAATTTGCATAACGCCATTATAGTCCCTATAGTCCTCTCTACAACTGGTGTAATACCAAAAGTGCTTCATCAATCATTAAAAACTTTAGATTTACCAAAACTAACATAATATATTCAATTGCAAAAAGCAGTTTACTTAATACCTGTAGAATAGTTAGAAAATTTATCTCTAGAGAAAACTACCCATAACCAAACAAGTTCATGGTATCCACTTGGCTTTTTCCCGTGGTAATAACCATTAATCAAGTTTTGTTAAAAACAAACTGAGAAAACGTAGAAAATATAAATAAAAATAATAGGGCGGCGCTCATTCACACCGCTTGCATTGTCCGCCGGTTTCTTTCCCTTTCCCCCTAACCCTCGCCCGTTTGGTCTCCACTGCCGAGGGCTTCCATCAGGTTGGGTCTTTATTTATTTATGTATTTTTATTTATTTATTTTATTGATATTTATGTACATTTATTATATTCACTAACTACAGACACGATATATAATCGTATATATATTTATAGAACCCAACCAGATGAGAAAACTATAGAGATACCCCAAAATAATAATAATAATAATAATAATAATAATAATAACCCCTGCCGAGGGCTTCCATCTGGTTGGGCTTTTATTTATTTATGTATTTTTGTATTTATTTTATTTTATTGATATTTATGTATATTTATCCTTTCATTTTCGTTTATAATTATATATTTATACATCCCAACCAGATGAGAAAACTATATAGATACCCCACACATAATAATAATAGATACCCCACACAATAATAATAATAATAAATAATCGCAAACTGACTGTTTCATACCAGCCTCATCGATACCGATGTTCTGTGACATACCCAGGTATCGGTATGTTTCAGCCTCGGAAAGGGTCCTTAAGTTGACGGGCATAGATAAATCTATGCCCTCAGAGTTAGCAACCCTTCCCCTTTCAACATGGAGGACCGCACACTTATCCGTCCCCAGCTCCATTCCAATGGAATTGCTAAATTCACAAGTGATGTTTAGCAATTCCATAAGATGGGAGCGACTGGAGGCGAATAACTTGAGGTCATCCATATAGAAAAAGGTGGGTCACTTTTGCCCCTCCTTTCCGTAGCTGAAATCCTCTCCCGGATCCCTCCAGTAAGGTACTGAGAGGGTTCAGGGAGAGGCAGAACCAGATTGGACTCAGACAGTCGCCCTGGAAGATACCCCTTCTTATCCTTATGTGGTTCTCCGCAGCCATCATCCGCTCACCCAGATGACAAAGGATCGTACTCCACTGCCCCTTACACTGCTCGAGGAAGTCTCTCACTGTACAGTCTATCTTGTACAGCTCGAGGACTCTCTTTAGCCATGTATGGGGCACCGAGTCGAATGCCTTTCTGTAGTCTATCCAGGCGGCGGAGAAGTTCCGACGGTTGCGTTTCACCACTTTGCCAATGACCGCGTCAATGAGGAGTGGTTCCTTGGTTCCACGACCACCGCCCCGACATCCATTTTGAGCGCGTGACATCACCTGATTTAGCTCCAGGTGACGAGTGATTCTCGCGCTCAAAATGGATGTCAGTGTCTTATATATGGTGGGTAGACACGTAATGGGGCGGTATTTGCTCGGGTCTGTGGTAACCTGGTCTTTAGGAACCAAATGAGTGATCCCAGTAGTGAAGAGGCTAGGGAGCGACTTCTGGTTGAGAGCCTCTTGAAACTGACGGGCGAGCACAGCGTGACACACCATGAACCCCTTCAGCCAGTAGTGATGCAGTCCGTCGAGTCCCGGACTTTTCCAGTTCGGGGCTCTACGGACCGCCTCAGCTACGTCATCCGGCGTTATGATGACGGGGTCCATGGGCGTAATACTCGCACACTGACTCGCCACAACTTCCGTCCAAGAGCCCTCGCTGTGGTTTACGGGCTCTGACCACAGGCCACGCCAAAATGCGACAGTGTTAGCCTGATCCGGTCCTGGGCCCGCTCCACATACCTCTGGTCGCTTCCAATGATTTGTAGAGCCTCTTCTGATCACTCTGGAAGAGACGATTCTGGTTGAACCGCCTTGACCTCTCGGTAAATCGGCGAATCCGCTTCCCCCAAGCAGCAATCTTTTGCTTCAGGTCGTCTATGCGCTCCGTTAGTTTCTGCGTGATATCCGGCTGGGACAACCTGATTTTTGTCCCAGCAAACGCCATTCTAACGGAGCGCACAACCCTCGTCTATTATTACTCGACCTGAAGCTTATCAGTCTGCCGATAAGGGCCCTTGCCTTTGCGATACGGTCCTCAATTCTTTTTCTCCAGGCTGGGATGGCGCTACTTTGTTTAGTAGCGCGTCCAGCCAGGGGAAGTTTGGCGCCAATAATACGGCAAGCTGCCACTGCGGCGCCAAAAAGAACTGAGTCCGTCTCGCAAAGGTCCCGGCTGGCTTCCAAATAGGTTACCAGCATAGGGTTAAGAGCCCTCACGACAGCCCGATTTCGCTTGCTTAGGGGTATGCGAGGAAGTCGCGGTCGATTTTCGAGAGGCATGGTGCGCGTTTCCAAAATCGCCTCTTCCAGTATACTCCTCATTTGCTCTAGTTCGTGGGAGACCATTTCATCATCGTCGGAATCAACCACAACTGAAGATCCATGGCAGCTTCTACGCGTGGCAGCTGGTCTGTCGCCTGAGGAGCCGCATCCCCAGCCGTAGCCAATTCATTCGATGAGGGAATGGCCTCACGCCGTAGTCGTTCGAGCTCGGCATCATCAAATATTTTCGAGCGCATGATGTACCGAACTCGGTCTGCCAGGTTTTGTTCCGTAACGGGAATAGACGGCTCCAGCTCAGCAAAAAAGCAATGCATCCGAGCCCGATACGCTATCCCCTTAGTTTCTTCCCCTTTCGCCCTATAGTACGCCCGCAATGCGTTTGCGTTCATATCTCTTGTCCAACGCATGCGGCGCACTCCACCAGCGGCGGATGCCGCTTGCCGAGTCCGAGAGGACCCTGCCGACATCAAGCCGTCTGGTGGGGATGATGGATGCGGGGGGCTGCTAGGTGATCTTGCAGCTCCTCGCGTTCGGCTGGCGGCCCGCATGCTGCCGCGTCCAGCGCCAGCTCCAGACGCGCCCCGGCGACCCCCAGGCAGCGGCCCTATACGCTTTCTAATCATATCCATCATCCATTTTTGGGCGCCAATTAACGGGAGACGCCCAGGCCCGGCACCGTTTCATTGCATCATTGTACGGCCGTAAGCACAAACGGACCTTTGCACCCTGAGTGCTGCCGAGGCACGGCGCTCACACCTCTTGGCAAGGCGCTGACTGACTGCACCGACGTAGCAGTTTTGTCACTTAACTGTTTCGTCAGCGGGCGATGGGGTCGTCACTTCCCTACGCCTATTTATTTTTTTAATAGCCTTTTGTCCGGTGTGAATAAGACACACGCATATAACGGTTGGGTCATACCTGTCCTTATGTATACCTTTGGCATACTCAGGTGGAGTCAGACTGAACTTAACGCCCTGGATAGAAAAGTCCGCACTACCATGACGTCCCATAGGATACATCATCCGAGATCGTCGGTAATGAGGCTGTACTTGCCGCGAAAGCATGGTGGGCGTGGCTTTCTGAGCGCGCTCACCATGCATAATCGTGAAGTGTGCAGCCTCCGTCATTACTTCCTGGCGAGATCGGATGATCCATTCTATAATGACGTCATTTCTAGTGATAAAGGGCTTACCCCTCTTTCCTTAGCCAACGAGCAATGGCAGGACCCAGCAGTGCTTAGCATTTCCGACCGGGAGACCGTATGGAAGGAGAAAGAGCTCCACGGGAGGTACTACAGGGCTCTACATGAGCCCTTTGTAGACACAGTCGCCTCCCTCAACTGGCTGCGTTTCGGTGACCTCTTCGGGGAAACCGAGGGTTTTGTCTGTGCAATACAGGATCAGGTTATTAAGACCAACAACTATCGGAGATACATCCTAAAGGATGGCACCGTCGACGTCTGTCGAGCTTGTCGCCATCCCGGTGCGTTACTTAGGCATGTCATCTCCGGTTGTTCGGCGCTTTCTAACTCTGAGTACTTGCACAGGACAACCTAGTAGCCAGAATTCTTCACCAGGAGCTCGCTCTGAAATACGGTCTCGTGGACCGGAAATTGCCGTATAACAAGTACTTACCGGAAGCCGTGCTCGAAAATGACCGCACCAGGCTCTATTGGGACCGGGTCATCATCACAGACAGGACTATTCTTGCGAATAAGCCTGATATTGTGCTGATGGACCGGGCACAGTCAAGGATATTTTTGGTCGACATTACCATCCCGTATGACGAGAACCTCGTGAAAGCTGACACAGATAAGCAAACAAAATATCTGGACCTGGCTCTACCACCTAGCCCGCAAAAGGGGCCGGGGTTTTCATTATTATAATTAAATACACCACCAAACCCCAAAAAAAAAAAAACCCCCAAACCAAAAACATAAAAAAAAAAAATAAAAAAAACCAGAGGGAGGGGGTGGGTTACTTTTTAAAAAAAAAATGACTAATTAAACAATCAATACTTGTTAAAAATGATTGTGACAAGCTTTTATTTATCTATAATATTGATTTTATTGCACCACTTTGATTTTTCTTTTAGAGGGAAGTATTTTTATTAGATATATTTTTGATTGAAGAATTATTGTGACAAGAATTAATTTAAAAAAAAGTAAAGTACATAGTCAAGGATTTTTACAACCCTGATATATTTTGAAGTTTGTATGAAAAATTGAAAAATGGGAGGGCAACTTAGCCACAAGCGTACACTATCCTACTTGCAATGCAATTAAAGATGCAAATCATAACTCTGAACGTTGTATATTTATTATATTATGAGGGAACTTACCTTCAACCTTAAATTAAATTCTATTATTATCATTTTAGTTCCTGACGACAAAGTAGTCACAAAGTGAGGTTAACTTTGCCATTTTCTACTTTTGAGCATTTTGTCTTTTAATGTTAGTATTTTTTAAAACACTAATAAATACCAAATTTATAAAGAATATACTTCACTTTTCCCATTGACGCCCAGTCTTAACTTTTATGTTTGAAAAATGGTTCTAAACTTTTAAGTCCTTCCAAAAATTGGATAGTTGCTAGGTTTCACTTACTTACTAACTTATCGTCACGCACAATCCCTAACGGGGTAGCCAGAGAGAACAGATCGCCAAGTGTCACGATGCTTACGTACCTCTTTCGCTTCTTTCATGTTCATTAACTTCTTCATACATGCACGTCTAGGTATCCGAGTACTCTTGACCTTCCTCTCTTCGAGTAATTTGCTCACATGGTCTTCGAAAGTTAGTCTCGGTCTACCTCGACACCTTTTAATATTTACTTTCGCGCTATATATTTTCTTCACCATTCGGTCTTCACTCATTCGCTCAACGTGCCCAAACCATCGGAGTACGCCCCTATCATGTTTTGTTTCACGGTAATTAAAAACACTATATTTACTTTAGGTTAACTCTAAGATCGGGACGTCAATTACCTCAGTCCCCCGTGGCCATGGCCATTTGTGCTACAAAGCACCCGAAACGTGGGGAATTAAAAATTAAAAAAGTAGGTAGAATTAACGCGATAAAATTCTTAAAAGTTTGTAGCGGCGCTACAAGCAAAACACACCGAAGCCTAAATCACGCTATCTAATTTCCGAATCATAAACAGTATATATAGAACATCTACGAACTATCACACGGAGTGTTGGCCGCTCCCCGGGCAGAACACCTTGCCCGGCGGGAGATCTCCTCTTTCTCTCCTTCCATGGCCACAAGTAGTTTTATTTAATGTCTAGTGTTCTCATTATTATAATAAATCTTTAGATAACAACATTATTAATTACAATTAAAACATAAATGTTATTCCAATATTTATTTTTGTTGGCTCATGTGTTGACTTTCTTCTCAAGCTATTGTTAAAACATTCAAAATAGGGTATATTAATAAGACAATCCTAACTTAAGTTTGAGTAGATATTACAGCGAAACCAAATAGGTATTAGAATTCCAATAATGAAATTGCCAGGCGTGTCGCTTTCATGTCACCTGTATGTATTTGTTCAGAGGTATTTAGGTTCGATCGATTCATTAGTGGCTTCTTTGATGAAATGTTGCGTTTGAGCCTCGTAAATGTTGATTGAGTCCCACCATTGCCGGTTATAGCAACGTTTGTTTCCACCCACCCATATTAAAACGTTTAAGAAAATCGTAGTAAAACAGAAACATATAATTTTCCGTTATAAATTAATTATTAATGTCTAAATTATAATATCTCGTTCGAGCCAAAAATGCACGAACAAACTAAAATAAATGTTTACTAATAAAAATCTTTTCGTCACCGATAGAAATAGTTTTTGGCAGCGACTCAGTGGTTAAGAGTTTGGCTGCGTTGCCGCGGGACTCGGGTTCGACTCCCTCACAAAAAAACTATTTATATAACTTGCGAACAATTTTTCCAGCTTGAATGTTAGTGTGTGTGCAGTCAATTTTTATAAAATGCCTCGTCCTTAAGGGGATAATTTCTAATTAAATTTATTTAGGGGTACCTACTAGCTAATCCATTTAAAAAAATTAAATACTAAATATAAAGGCGTTTAATATGGCACCGCCTAAGTCAAATTTCGCAAGTATGGTAAAACCCATATACAGCAGTTGACAGCTTATGGGCTGCTATAAATATGGATCAAACATTAAGAAAAATAAGGGAATAACACTAAGTAAACAGGTTCGTTTATCTGGCAATTGAAAAAGTGGTAGTAATTTTAGTCGTGTTGCTTAAAAGGTGCACCATTTTTGTATCTCCAAATAAGATATACCATAAGAAGACTTATAATAACCTCACGAAACTTCTAATGTATAAACACTTACGTTAGCGATTATCTTGTCATACATGTCGCAAAAGGGGTTCAATATTCAGCACAGTCATAACGATGGTTATATTAAGAGGTGTAGTAAAGTTTCTTATCTTAGCCATGACGTATTTTTATAGAACAAACAACAGATAAACGATTACTCACTCCACATGGACATCGTGCGTAGTATAATTATGCTGTGGCCCATAGACAGTTATAACTATCCTCGATTATGAGCCGAAAAGCGAGCCGACCCATTCGAGCTACAACTCTAATATTATAGCTGCAGTATAGAACTACCAATGCAGGGTATATTACGGTTGCAGCACGAATAGTTTGGCCCGACAGTAAAGGTAAAAATTTCGCTTTTGATTTCTAATTGATTTTCCAATGAGCTTAGAAGGCTTGAAACTTTAAATATAATTTAAAACCGTAAACGCGTTATCAAGAAAGATATAGCGTGTAGAATAATTAGAGCACCGACTTTAGAATATGATTTTTTTATGGTAGCCTTTAATTTAATTTGAAAGTTAATATGTTTACCCACTATAGGGGAAGGAAGATCATAATCTCAATTTCGTCTAAATAGTTCCATTAAAATTTCATCTCCATTTCAGCCGCCGAAAGGGTAGAATTTTTTACCAAATTTATATAAGAACACCACTGAAGTATATAATCTATTTAATAAAAAGGAATCATCAATTTTTTTTATAAGATAGGGTGCCAAACGAGCACACAGTCTACCTGATGGTAAGTGGTTTCTGTGTCCCATAAACATGTATATCCATCCTCGATTACGAATCAAAATGCAGGTGCGTTGTCACTCGTGGGCACTAAGATGGAATGTCTCGCTTTCAGTAAAAATGGTCTTGAAAAGAAAAAGAATTAAAGGTCAGAAAAAGGTGCTTGCCATAGTAAAATTGTAATCATCTCATTCAAAACCAATTTAGGTATCGCTATAATATTGACTGTGCACACGATTGGTATAAATCTACATTAATTGTGAATTGAAATGAACAAGGTTAATCATATTATAAAGCAAATATATACAATTGGTTATTGTACAGCGAAACTTTATATTATGTTAATTGATTGATTTAATTCCAATTTACACACAGTTGCCT